CGGGGTGACGGGTCCGGGAAGGGAATGGAGCTATGGCCTGGGTGCTTTCCCCTGGACTTTGTCCAGGGGAAAGGGAGCTCAGGAGAAGAGGAGCAGGCCTTAGCCTCAACTCCTAGCCCTTCCCCAGGCTATATATTCCCTCGGTGCACAGATGTTCCCATCAGGGGCCTGACCTAACTGTTTCCAGGCAGGAGGTCATGCTTGGGGTCAAGGTTAGTTAATCAGGTCCTGTGCTCCACAAAGTTCCATGCACTATGTCACCTCACTAATTCTTTCACAGCTCACAGAATTGGGCTAGCTTTGTCCATGGTAAATGGACAGTCACACCCAAAGCAGATAAAATGGCTTGTCTAACAGACAGGTAATGGCTGAAGGAGGCCACACTGGAAGCCAATGTTTTCAGGCTCCAAAGATGACTCTATAATGCTTACTGTGCCTCAGCATTTCTCCATGGAAACTGCCCTATGTATGCTGTGCTATAATTTCTTTTGGAAAACACTATATATTCTCCTGTTTCACTCAAGCAGATTTCAAAAGAACATTTGTGCAGAGAATGATCTTTCAAGGCCAGCTGAGGGGTTGCTTTAATTCTCCATCCCATCCCCAGTCTCATTGGGCGTTGAAAACTGTTATGCTGCTTATTGGCGAAAGACTAAAGAAGACACATCTAGGCATTTTTCCCTCCTCTACTTTGGGGTGCCAAGGAGACAGAACATCGGGATATGAGCATCTATTTGGAGAAATTTCCTGGAGCCAGCTCAGCTTAGTGACATCGCCCTTACCATTCCAGATAATGTAGTTCATCATGGCAAGGAATGTGTCATTCTTCAGCTCTTTGGTCATGTGCATGATTTTCCTGTTGGTTTTCTTCATCATATGATTGTTGATCTGGGTCTTGGCTTCATTGCAGTCTCTGAAGTTGATAGCCACGACTTCAGATAAGTACAGGTTCTTGATCATCTCCACAGATTTGTTCCCCTGGTTCAGGTTCCGGTGGATGAACACACTGCTACCACTTCTCAGTGGGGACACCTCGTTGGGCTGGTTGAGGGCACGAAGTAGATACTGGAAACACTTGTGGATCTCAGCTTCAGACAAGCCTGTTTTGTTGAGCTTTAGGGCCTCCAGGGTATGTTGGCTAACATTACCATTGGCTCCTAGGGAGAGCATTAAAATCGAAGCAACAACTCTAACAGGGGAGAATAAAATATTTTCATGTTTTGACTCCTGCGCCATCTCTTTGTACAAAGAGATGGAAAAATTGCTGATGGTGAGAGCTACCTTCCGGCAATTAAAACGATTAATGCTTGTGTCACTGTAGAATTCTTCATATGTAGCTTGGGTTCTGGAAAGCAGGTAACACAGGCCTGCTAGCAAGAGGAGTCCATGGGAGAAAAAGGGTGTCATCATCCTGCAAGACAGACAAAGGGAGACACAACCCTGAGTTGTGTCAACTTCCACTAACCAATGATTGACACATGTGAAAACAACCACAGTTTCTTACACCTATGTTATCCTCCCAGTCTGGGTGAGGCACTTTTTACAGCCTCGCCATTGAAAGAATTAGGGACAATTAATACTCAGGGCAGGTCATGTCTACCTGGTCTGCACTTCTCTGATACATAAGAACACTTTGCCTTCTTGTCTCAGTCCCACAGGGAAGCTATTGGAAGAGAAAAGTCCTCCATTTCTTCATGAGGACATATTACCTCAGAGAGGTTAAAGAATATATTCAAGACCATGAGCAGTGACTGGCAGAAGCAGGTCCCACAGCAGGCTGTCAGGAGCCCACTCTACTCCCATCTACAATGACTCAGCGCAAGGGAAGCTGCCCTGTTTAACAAAGCTCTGGCCACTAGAATCTGTGTGACCTGTAATAAAGATCACTTTCTGAGCCTCTTTTAAAAAACAGAAATATGAAGGGTATTAGTAGTGTAAATACAGACATGGGTGCTTCTACCTGGATATGATCTTGGGGGCAGTTTGTAGGTTTGGCACACTCCAGCCTTTTGGACCAGCCCTCAGCCATCAGGTTGGAATCAGGATTGAGAACCCAAATAAGAAAGGGGAATGAGGGTTTGGAAGGGTAGCAGCTCATCTGAGGAGTTAATGAACATATTTTCCCTTGGTGATCAGGAGTTCTTCCCAGATGACCAAGGGAGCGAAGAAGGAGGCATAGGACCCTGGGCAGGAGAGACGAGGCCTAGGACCCTGGCCTGTCACAGGGAGTCTTGGGAAACACACTTTTAGGGTAGCAGTTAACAAAACAAAAGACAAAGCCCATTTTCTATTCTAAGAGAGTTGTATGTGGACTCCACAAGCAGAGAGAGGTAAAGGCCCGTGGCTTCTGATGGGGGGTCATGGGATTGGGTGTGGAAGGATGCCCAAGCTGAGAATACTGGGTGTGGGAATGGGGGTAGAAGACTGTCTGAGGTGTCTCCTCAGTAGCCACCCCTGCTCCACCCCCCACCAAACAGGTGGAGACAGAAAGGTAAGAAACCCATAGCCATCCCAGGCCTAGAGGGCTTTCTCAAGGAGGGGGCAGGCTACCGGGTTAGTGGGTATACTGTATCCTGAGAGCGTAGAGGGAGGTCTTTGCTCTCCTCTGGATCTGCCCATAGGAGTTGAATCCTCTGTGTGGAGGAGGTATGGAGGCAGGTGGGAAGGGTGGCCATGCTCACCCCATCGGTTCAGAAGGAGGCTGGTTACAGACTTACTGAGCAGAGTCAGCACAGGCAGTGAGAAGCTCGTGGGCTGGGCGTGCGGCACTGACTGCCCCTTGTGCTCTCTCCATGGGGACTTATAGGCATAGCAGAGTGTGGGAAACACTCAGTCCCTTTGTGTGCAATGACATTCCATGAGGGAGGAGAGCCCGAGGCAGCTTGTAATCTCAATTAGGAGCTTTTGTACCATGGGTTCTTGTGGCCTGGAGGCCTGGATGTCTTTCCCTGAACAGACTTAGTGAAGCAGAACTGGCCAGTATAACCCATCTAGAAGGAAGACAGAGGGAGCCCTGTGGTCATTACAGCCTACCCCCAGGGAGTTGCTGAGAGGAGGCCATGGGTCCACACACAGGCCTAGCCTCAGTGTCTTCAATAGTTGTCACCCACCTGATGTCAGTGAGTGTTATTTCCACTCTGGGCCTGAGAAGCCTCACTTGGGTACTAGGACCTGTGCTGCACTGCACTCAAACCCTGTTGTTTTGGGACAGAATGGGGATAATGGTCCAGTGCCTCAGAATAGGGTCTTTGGTGCAGCTGAGAGACAACTGATGGAGTCCACTCCCGTGAGGAGCTTTGCCTTGAGGACAAGGAGAAGAGAAGCTCTTCATCCTCATGTGAGCAACTGAAACCAGTGTAACTCCCCTCACAGATGCATACCTTAAGAAAAACACAAGCAAGGCCACAGTCCCAGATGTAAAGCACACACACCAACAGCACAGTAAGAAAGTGCTTCTTCCTTCAGGAAGCAGAGGCAGGCAGATGCCTGTGAGTTCAAAGGCAACCTGGTCTACAGAGTGAATTCCAGGACAGCCAAGGCCACACACAGAGAAAACCTGTCTTGAAAAACCAGAAAGAAAAAAAGAAAGAAAGAAAGAAAGAAAGAAAGAAAGAAAGAAAGAAGGAAATGCATCCTACCTCTCTAAACTGGCAGGCCTGAAGCGATTTCTCTCATTCTGTGTGTTTTCCTCTCACTCTGCTGACAGTTTCTTCTCATGTACAGACTTCAAATGTTTTTTCAAGAAGTCCAATTTCCTTTTGGCGGCCTGTGCCTTTGAAAGGCTCTCACCTAAGTAATGACTACACAGTTTGATTCATCCCCTTCCCTACCCTGGTCGATCTGGGATGCAGTTACCTAGGTCTGCTTCCTTTTGGGAATTAAGAGTGTTTTTTCTGATGCTGTTGAAATGGCACAGGGTGAGTTCTAGTGGCTCAACTGCCCCTTCTGCTCAGCTTGTGGACACAACCTGGACTTGAGTCTCAGACCCCATGAATCAAAGAGGAATTTATTATACCTGAGTCCAAGCCAGCCCTCTGAGACTGAGATGGGTAGTTCCACAGGACAGGAGTGTTCAGAAGGAGGAGGATGTGGGCTGCAGGTAAACTCTGCTGAGCTCTTGGGCTGTCTAACTCTAGCTGCCCTTCCCTGGAGCCTTGGAATTTGGGACAGGCTGCTTGAGTCTTATGAAAAATGCTGTGCTCAGAAGTTCCGATGTCACACCAGAACTGTGGCTGTCCCTAGAATGCCACCGAGACAATCACCAAGAAAAAGCATGGCTACAGGCCCCATTAGGCACCTGAGCACAAGGAAATGTGAGGTGTTCCTGAGCCCCAGGATGAGAGGGCTGGATGGTTCATGGCAATGACTCTGGAGGGTTAGGGGAGGTGATGTTCTCAACCATGCATCTGTCCTAAACACTGTTCTTTTGGTAGACTGAGACAGGCAGTATTTTCATGGTCTAGTAAAACTTATTAAGTGTGGTTTTGTTTGTGTTGATAGGGTCTCATATATCCCAAGCTGGTCTTGAACCTAGAATTCTCTATGTAGCCTGAAGATGACTTTGAACTTCTCACCTTACTGTCATCATCTCCCAGGTGCTGTGGCTAGAGGCATGCATCCCCATGCCCAGCCTGTGTGGTTCTAGGGATTGGAACCCAGAATATGTGAAGCAAACACTCTACCCTAGCTTTTACATTGCTTTTCAGTAGACCTTTAGTTAATCAAACCCAGAGTGGGTAAAAGAAGGCACTCCCAAGGGCTGTAAGGTTTTCTGGTAGAAAATGCTATTGCCAGGGGGTAGGCAAACTCTCTATGACATATTATCCAGGGTGACAGCCAAGGCTTCACACAATGTAGGTCCTGGTCACTGCTGTTTGTTGTCTGCCAGAACTACTGCTGGAGACACTAGAGATACTAGTTTGAGGAATAGAGAAACTGGGCCATAAACTCGCTCCCTACCTGCTGCTCTTTTTAAGGCCAGAAAGTGCCCTGCATGTTGTTGGTTGAGCAAGAACCTCTGCCAGTGGTCTTGCTGAGACTTACCAGGCAAAATGTGCCTCTTGCTGTGTAGTGGTGTGAATGAGAATGGCCCCCACAGGCTCATACATTTGAATGTTTGATTCCCAGTTGGTGGACTGCTGAGGAAGGGTTAGGAGGCGTGGCCTTGTCAGAGATGTGTCACTGTGGGATGGGCTTTGAGTTCTCAAACAGCCTATGCCAGGCCCAGTTTCACTCTCTGCCTCAAGCCTGTGGATGGATGTAAGTTCTTAGTTTCTACTCTGGCACCACTGCCATGGTGATCATAGATTAATCTGAAACTGTAAGTAAGCCACCAATTAAATGCTCTCTTTTATAAGTTGCCTTGGCCATGGTGTTTCTTTGCAGCAGTAGAACAGTAACTAACATGTCTCACGGGTGGAGCCAACTATTTTCTCACTGGATTTGAGATATGCTCCACAGGAAGGAACCCTTACTTAGTACTATAGACCTGAGCAAAACCCCACTGCTCAGGAGGTCAGAGGACCCAGTGAGAGTTTGATGTCATTTGTTGTTGTTGTTGTTGTTGTTGTCATAAAACATACGTGAAATGTCTATCAGTTTGCCTTCAAAGTATGTTTTTATTCCCATAGATGACTGTTACTTGTAGACTGAGTTTTCCTGTGCTAACAGTAGTACCAATAAACCAACATGGAGACTTAACATTAAGTATAAATGCTCAGCCGGTAGCTCGGGCTTGTTACTAGCTAAGTCTTATTCTTAAACTAAGTCACTTTTTTTTTTTTTATCTATGCTTTGCCACATGGCTTGGTAACTTCTCTCAGCACAGCACTCCCATCTTGATTCTCCCTGTGTCTGCTGGTGACTCCTCTAACTCCCATGACTCTGCCCTTTTTCCTCCCAGCATCCTCTTAGTTTGGTTTTCCCTCCTAACCTCCTCCTGCCCAGCTATAGGACAGCCAGCTCCTTGTTAGCCAATGAGAGTAATGCATATTCATAGTGTGTGAAAAGATTGTTCCACAGCAGTTGCTGGTAGCCTAGGTCAAGAAAGCTTCTTGTGTGATTATGACACAGGTTTACAACGAGTCAAATTGCTGATAATAGGTTACTGTTGCTGTGGCACAGTGGCCCAATGCTCAACTATAAATGTGAGAAAATCATCATATTTCCCAAGGCTGGGAGAACACAGTAGAAGAGGAGGCCAAGGAAGGGGTTCTGTATAGCTGCTTCTTCCAGATTGGAACATTTTCTCATGGAGGGAGAGGAACCTCAGAGGCTCAAGAAAGAAGTTTTTTTCCAGACCCCTTCATGAGGTGACAGAAGCAGTAAATAACTGCCAGGATGGGGGCCACTTCACTGACATGGCTGCCTGTAAGTCGAATAAGGAACTTCAGTCACACTGCTTTCCTGAT